TAAGTAGTAAAAAAAGTAGACTGTACAGCTTTAGATTACGTACCATTTCATCATAAAGCTTTTGAATAAAAAAAATGTCCACTATTTTGTGGGAAAAAAATAGTGAACATAATGTGAAAAAAGTGGACTGTCCACTCAAATAGTGGACACCTGGCAACCCTAACCAGCAGACCCAGCCTTGTAGCCCCCTTCGGACTGGCCGGCTTAAAGAGGCTAAAACGTGGCGAGAACTCCGGTACTTCGGCCTCAAAAGTTCCCTGCCTTGTCTTTCTTCGTAGGTGTTCAACGCCCATTATAACCTAACCCGGCACATGCCTGTTCACACCGGAGCCAGGCCCTTCGTGTGCAAAGTTTGTGGGAAAGGTTTCCGCCAGGCCAGCACGCTCTGTAGGCATAAAATCATCCACACGCAGGTACGCTGGGCCTTGGAAGAGAGACCCGTCCGGTTGGTGTGTATTTCCGTTGCCTTAAAAAAAAAAACAAAAAAAAAAAAAGGGAAGGGGAGAAACTGAGTTTAAGCGCCACGCTTTTTCGGCCGAGGGTCTTGGAAGGCAAAAGCGCGGTGAGTCATTTCAGAGCAGCGGCTTAACTTGTCCTTTCCACCCACAGGAAAAGCCCCACAAGTGTAACCAATGTGGGAAAGCCTTCAATAGGAGTTCCACGCTGAACACCCACATTAGGATCCACGCCGGCTACAAACCGTTCGTCTGTGAATTTTGTGGCAAAGGATTTCATCAAAAAGGTATTTAGACCAGGCAACGTTCTTGACCTCTGCGCGCATTTGAATCGCCCGAAGAGCTAATTGGGGATGGAAGTTGGGAGAGGATAGAAACGTTCTTAAGAATTATTACCATTCTTTGGCGAGAGGAAAGCCAGCTTGCCTATATATATATATATATATATATATATATATATATATATATATGTATGTATGTATGTATGTATGTATGTATGTATGTATGTATGTATGTATGTATGTATATATATGTATGTGTGTATGTATATATATATGTATATACGTATATATGTATATATGTATATATGTATTTGTTTTCTGAGGTTTTCGCGGGTGTTTGTATGT